GGCGTGTTGCTCCCCAGCGCGCTGGGGCAATTTCCTCAGTAATTAGCGACCTGAGACGAAGTGTCCTTTGGCTGATGCTGAGGGCCCTTATATATACATGTAAAGGGAGGCTGGTCCGCAGCGGCCGGTCTTTATTAGCATATCCCACCACATCCCCTGCCGGGGGCTGTCTGGGCAAGCCCCTTCCAGTCCCCAGGAGACAATTTGCTCCGCACTGCTCCTTTGGATAGCAGTGCTCTGGACACTTATCTCACTGAACGACCTCCCCAGAACTGATCGCGACGTCTCCAGAGTTTAAACCAAGTCTGGGGATGTGCAGTTTTAGTATGGAAAGAGAGGCAGTGGACGCCCACGAACCGCTGACATTTCCTACAGAGCCGTTCCTCGCCCCTGTGTTCCCATCTCCCATCACACGCTGCAGCGAGAGGGACACGAGCTCTAACCACGGAGGAATTAATAGCCCCTACAGTACCTACTTGACTATCTTTATTCCTCATAGCCAGGGTGTCCAGGTCTAACCTGAATCTATTCATTTCAGACCTAGATTTTGCCTGTTTATCTCGAGGAGCGCTTTATTCTGTAAACAAAACTGTGTCACCAACAGTTTAAATTTACAAACCGGGGGACAAAAATGCACAGCTACATGTGGCCAGCAGAGACGAAGAGGGGGATAAACCTAGATTTTAGTGCTGTCGGATCAGGTCACAGGGAGAGGTACTTACAAAAGAAAAGCATACGTGTTTGCTCCGAGACAAATCCCCTCCCCATTCCTTCTCCTACTCGTGTGACCTGGTGCTGCTAGAGACACAACAGTAGAGCAGCCCTTGGGCTTGCTAATTTTCTGCTTTTAGGCTAGCTTGTACCGTTACAGATGCATCCCAGCTGCCAGTGCAGCAAACCCCTCCTGGAAGTGTAAAATTTCTAACCCCGCAATCCTTAAGTAACTTTACACAAGTCGGGGACAAAAGCTTTGCCAGAGCCCCAGCCGCAGCAGTAGCTGAGCGGAGCGGTGCAAGGGTCATTAGAGTGGTAATGAAGCCATTTAACAGGCATTTGCTAACGCTCAGGAATCCTTTGGTTTCATCCAGGTGGCTTTTGTAGTTGAGCAAAATATTATGAGAAGGAAAAGGAAACCTTCCCTACCTGGGAATAAAATTATGTGACCTAGGTTAACTCAAACGGAGAGCAAGTGACCCAGCCGCGGTTCAAAAGCGACGGAGCCGGTCTGCGTGCCCAGAGAAAAAGGCATCTTCCTTTAACCTCTCTTCAGGAGGAGGTAATGCGGTGGAGGGCACGGCCATCCGGCTGTCCCAAGGAGCGGCTTTTCAAGGGAGCAAGGCGGGTAGGGAGCATCTCCTCGGAGAGGTGCCTCGCACAAGCGCACACGGTTGGAAAGTCTGCCCGGGAGAGGCCGGCAGCTGTGGCTGGGGCGGGAGAGAACCCATCTGCTCCTTGCCCCCCGAAACCCCGAAGGGTGGTTTTTCACTCTTAAGATAAAAATTTTCATTAAAAAATTACATATATATTTATAAATAAAATGTAAAAAAAAAAAATGCACACACACTTCTTCCTGTGAGCGGGCGCGTAATTATCTAAAGACTGCGGAAGGCTACCTCGACACTGCCTCGGTTTATTTGGGGCCATAAACGGGGGGAGGCCCCTTTGAAATTAATACTGCAGGAAAAGCAGAGGGTTGATAAAGGAGTAAAGTTACAGAAAAAGGAAAGCTCAGAATTTCAGGCTTCTGCCACTTCGAGATGCAGGTTGCTATTTAGCTGGGCCACATCTGACACAGGGCAGTTCCCTATTGTTTTCCTAAGAGCCGTCCGGCAGAAGGGGGGCTCTGCTCGGCAGTAACTTGAACTCTTCACTGGGCTGTGGCGTGCACATAGACACACACACAATTTGATTTACCAAGTTTGAGCTAGCTAAAATAGACCTGTTTACAGATTTATGCTCTGAGCACAAATAAACTCGATCTTAAAGTGCTGATTGTAGTTCTGGTCACTTTTGAGGAGTTTATCCCCAAGTCTGCACTGTGGATCTGCCGGTGCAGTCTTCGAGGAGCTAGGAAAGTTTGTTTCCTTTTTCGCTGAATATTTGAGGGGAAGGGGAAGAAAGGATGGAAGAGCCTGTCACTCAGGAAGAAAAGAATCTAACTCTGTAATTAGTATCCCTTAAGAGCCCTCGGCTCCTCTGGTAAAGTGATCTCAAAACAAATTTGAAAAAGTGCAGTAGGCTAGTGAAACTAAAGAAAGGGAAGAGAAAACACAAACTACAAGGCTGTCTAATGAGGCTGCAGCGGGGAGTGGGGGCTGGGGAGTGGATAGTGCTGCATTTCAGAAGGCTCAAGTCCGGAAAGCAGGAACAGTCTGAGCATCGGACACTGTCTGCTCATGTGAATGGGCAGAGAGAATATGGTAAACCTGTCAAGGATCTCTTCCTCACTCCTACCCTCCCCGCTCCGCAGCAATTGTCGTGTCGCACCTACTTCTGAAGCGATTCAGTCCCACGTGGGGACCATTTGCGGAGAGTGCAATCTTTTTTTTCCGAGCCCCATGCCTTTTTATTTGAGCAAATTAAATCCAACCGAAACCGTAAGTCACCGGGTAAGGGAGTGAGAGATGTTCGGGGCCCACCTGAGCACACC